CATTATAGGTGCTCTCGGACGAGCAACATTTTTCGCAAGAATAGATGATCCAGATGCGACTGAATTCCTAATCTTTTCTTCCTATTGCTTAATCGACCAAATAGTTGACTCATTTAAATTAAAATGCCTACCAATATCAACTATCCGCTCTTGATTTTTAATTCAATCCACAATTTCTATCTTTGTTTGAAGAGATATATTAATAAATTTCCTTTCTAACGACGGTCCTTTCTTTTCATTCGACATTGTTATGGCTAAAATTTTTTCAAGCAGTTTTGTGGACAGTAAAAATCGCAAAAAATAACTTCCCTTCACTATGTTGTTAAAAATATACACCCAATAGAAGTTTATACTGTATTTTCGACCATTTTTGCAGTCCCCACCTATTGAAAAAGTATAAATTATCGAAAATTCAGTGACATATTTAAGTGTTTATGGTAACTGATGCACATCTGTCTAGAAACTGGTCGTCCCCTGAAACTTTCATGGGAATAACACGTCAACGTGGACAAACAGCTGTTTTCGAGGACATTTAGCTCTGTACACCGAACTGTGGTGCGTATTAAGTGATCCATTGAGATTTTTCTGTTATGTGAAAGGTAATTTGTTTCTAAATACCATAAACCGCGTTGTAAGAAAATTTCCGCATTTTTCCAACCGCGTTGGAGCGAAAATGTGTTGTAAAGGTACCACGTTGTAGGAGGCCTATCTGTACTTATAAATTTATTAACATAAAAAAATAAAATAAAATAAAAAAATATGATTAAGTATTACATAAAATAAAGTACACGGCCCANTACAATGAAATATTAGAAATTAATTAATTTAATGACCAATTCCAAATTAAATTTAAAAAATGTCTACATTAAAAATTAATTATTTTTAATAATTAAAATTTAATATGAGATGGCGCATAACTGCCTACCTCTAGTCAAATTAATTAATTTCTAATATTTAATTGTAGCCTTTACATAGCCCAACAATTTGGCATATCGTTTGGCCTGTTTATCATACATATTATCTGCAATTTTTTTTCTTGCAAATCAAATAGGCCTTTCAGGTTGGTTTATTCTGTACTAGAAGGAATGATGATGATGATGATTCATGCTCCTTAACAATTTATATTGTATAATTTTTTTTGAATAAATGTTATACATAAAATATTTGAGTAATTTTTTTGGCATGAAACACATTATCGTATTTTACATTAATTTATATGGGAAAAATTGTTTCGTTTAACAAGTGTTTCACATTACGAATAAGATTCTGGAATGGATTATGCTCATTAAGTGAGGTTTCACTGTATTATCATTCTAGGATCAGAAATGATAAGGATCTGAAAGAGGAGCTAGCTAGTTTTGCAACTGATAAGAATATTAAAATTGAATATGATAAAGCATGTACACCATTCTGATGACCCTCCCCATCTCAGGTATCAACCAGAGTATTAATCATATAATAAATAATATCACATGCAGAGGCAGTGTGCACATCTAACAATTAACACTGAATGATGACTGAAATTAAATAATTATACTGATATAACATTTGTGTTATCCTCATTTTTCATTTGTCTCTTTTAGAATGGCTTATTAATGCTAAAATAAAACTGTTATTTGTGAAGAAAAAACCTTAGAATAAGCCCTGCCTACTATGCAGAGGCAATTCTTACCCTTACAAGCAACAGAAGAGAAGATCATCTCTCTCTGTAGTCAAGTGCAATGATCTAACCCATAAGATTTCTTCTATTCATTTATTGCACCCACTTTCCGTGCACAATATTTTCCCCCCCTAAATTCCATTAGGCACACTTAATTGCATCAAGGAAAATGGGCATTACCAATTTGACCACACCATATCTTGAAAACAAATTTATGGGATAACATTTTGCATTACATTTTTAGATTCCTCATCTCAGTTTTATCAAAATTGGCCCATCAAATTTTGAGAACAAACTCAATTCTATAAGACACATGAGAGCTACGCTAATGCTCCACCTCAAATATGCAAAAATGCCAAATTATTCAGATATACAAATTAAATTTCTTTAAATATAATTTTAAAAAACTTTCCATTTTTGTTGTGTAAACAATTTTGGAAGAGTCTAATGAGTTATAATAATAATAAATAAACTCCATTAAAAAATTTTAAAAACCAACAATTAACAAAATAGTTTATCAAAAATTAATACTTGATGTATCATACCTTTGTTTCAAAACAAACTTTGCCAGTCTTTATTCCATATGATGCTCTGGCTCCTGCCCACATAAATGGGAAACCAGCTGTAGTCAAAGGTTGTGCAGAATAACGTGTTTTATCTATTTGCAAATTTAAGTCAGAATTATCTATAAAAAGAAAAACAAAATGAGAGATGGGTTACTTTTATTTTCAAAATAACAAAATAAAATTCTTTTTCTTCTACACAAAACTGGATACCTATAAACAGTAAATTACACAACTTTAAAATCTTAAAATTCCAGCAAGTAACTTTAATAGACAAATGTTTTCGATCTAATATTAAAATCGTCTTCAGGTCCTTTAACATTTCAATTATGGAATGTAAAAATGAACAATGATG